CCAGACTAATTTGTTTTAAGAAGAGGTTGTAGGTCAGGGGTAATGAGCCGGAAGTGTTTCTTTAAAAACTGGTATACCGCCAAGTCAGATGGGAAACGCCTATTGATTCTCACCTCGAGAGGATTCGTATAGATTATACTTAAGGTAAGTACCTTTGCATAATCATTAATTGTCACCTACAAGTAGGATAGTGATATATTCGCTATTGACAATAAATAAAAAAAAAAATAAATAAAAAACTGTACCAACTTGCGTGGTTAAATTACATTTTTGTAGTCGCAAATAATGAGGGTTTTTTCATAACGACTAAACTTATTATATATATACACACAGTATAATCAATCATTTAACTTTCACTCTATTAAATACTATTTTAAAGAGAAGAGACAACATATATTTTTTAATGAGATGTCTGAGGCTATGTGAAGTATGATAATTATGTTCTAATTTAATATATAAAAAACAAATATTAATTTTTACTCTATTCAATATATTTTTTAAAGATTTGTCCCCTTCAGAACTCAATCAATTGCTCGAAGACGTGTCCACGTGGTGGGAACTCTATGGAAACATGAATATGTTGAAAGTAATACTTAGCGAATTTAAAAGTATTCCTTTGATACTGATGGCGGAGGAACATCAGCCACGTTCACTCTTTGAACATCTTAGAAGAAGTGGGCTTATCAGCCAATCAAACGTTGATATCATCATCGAAACCGTTTTTTTAGGTTTCCAACGTGGCTTAGAATCAAAGATTAGAGAATCGATACCGACGTTTCCAGGCTTCAATGAAACTAAAATAACCAAATTTTCTAATTATCGACGAAATTTGCTTGAATTTGCCAAGGTAATGGACGCAAAAAACAAGGAACGCATTGGCTCTTTGTATAACCTGTACGTACCCGAACTAAAGGACCAGTGGATTTTGATATTTGAACTGGAGAAGGTAGGTGTACTTACTGAAGGCCCACATGTCAAGCAAGCATTCGTTAAAAAACTTGAGGAAAATGGTATGATAGCTGAGGCGAAAGCACTGAATACATTTCCAGAAAGCATTCCACATGAAACATTTTTAGCAGGCGGATTTGAAGCCCAGTGAGCGTCGCACATTTTATTTGCAAACAAGATTCATCTGCAAAATATGTAAGATTCGGAACGTGGCTCTTAACACTTCTGGTTACAATAGAAGCTCATATGTATACACATTCATAAAATCAGACTCATCGTTATCAAGATCATTGCAAGAGGCATCATCATAATTACTTTAGCATCATTATAATCATATTCAAAAACATTATTATCAGCAATATCATTATCATCATCATCATTATCATCATCCTTCTCATCATCACACGCATCGTTTAATCACAATTTTTCGTCGTAAAGTAATTAGAATAAGATATAATACTTATAGTATAGTTTTGTTTATTGTTAATGCCTAACATTTTCTTTGTACAATTCTAGGCAAAGACATTTTATTTGTAGTTTTTGAAATAATGAATGATTTTGTGTGGTTAGACTGTTAAGCTGTTCAAAAAATCTATTTAATATAAATGGTCGTAGAAATATTTGAATATAATGTTTTCAGTATATTTGTCTAAACGTACGTAGCTGTTTAAATTAAATAAAGTTCGGTATGGTGTTTACACACTAATATCACATTTGTTTTGGTAGAATTCGTATATTATGGATATTGTAAATTTATAACGACACATTCTAATTATTTTCTTAATATCATCTTCACTTTATTTTATTTAATCATTATATATTACTGGAATTTCGCAAACCAACTATTTTATTTAGGTATCTAGAATGGGGCTAAAAAAAAGAAAATTAATAAAACAACAAAATGAAGTCGGAAGACCTTCAAAAATCTATTTAATATAAATGGTCGTAGAATTTGAATATAATATTTTCAGTATATTGTTTAAACGTACGTAGCCGTTCAAATTAAATCAAGTTAAGTATGGTGTTTACAAACTAATATCACATATTTGTGTGGAATTCGTTTATTATGGATATTGTAAATTTATAATGACACATTCTAATTATTTTATAATTATCATCTTTATTTTATTTAAGAATTATGTATTTGTGGCATTTCGCAAACCAAACTTGTGTTTATGTATCTGGAATGGGACTAAAACAAAAACAAACAAAAAATGTTGAAAAACCTTTTAAATTTAATAGCAATTTTGGAGTGTACTAGTACTCGCTGTTTACTTGGGCTCGAATTCAACCCTGGCGATGAAATGCATGTTCGGTTGTCTAGCTGGAGGTATGATGCAAGGCTAGTGTTCTGGAGATCGTGTGTTCGAGTCTCACCCTAGAACAACTTGCAAATTATTTTCGCAAATATTCTCACACGTACTAAGTATTTAGTACATTTTTAAGTCATGTTGGGCACAATTACACATATTATACTTGATTATCCAAACGCGAAATCCTGGCCAGTTATTGTCTATTAACAACCACCATTTATGTTTCAGTACCCGCTGCTTCCTTGGGCTCAAATTCAACTCTGGTCATCAGACGCAAGCTCCGTGGCCTAAAAGTATGATGCCAGGCTAGTGATTGGAAAATCGTGGGTTCGAGTCCCACCCGTGAACAATTTGAAAATTATTTTCGGAAGTGTTTTCACACGTACCAAGTATTTAGTACATTTTCAGGTCAAATTAGACAAAATTTCATATAATTATGATTTTGAATAGCTCATTTATTTTTGATATTTTTTAAAAATGTTATAATTTAACAACTAAACTATAAAAATCGTATTGTAATTAACACAAACTAAATTAAGCTAATTCTTAATTTTAATACTCTTACACCTGTACTGTATATACTATAATTTTTGACTCTGCTGTTATTGCTGTCTGCAAGATATGCAATAACAATATTATTGAAGATGAAATTCACTTTATTTTGCAAAGGAGCAGATATATTTCAAAATTTATTTACTTATATCCATCTATTAACAAGCTCTGTATATTATTTTCAAATACAAAATAATATTAATAATTTCGCAAAATACGTCTACTTTGCGTTTGAAAAAAGAAATAAGTATATTATGTTACAATAAATTATGTTTAATATTAGGGCCAATGGCCCATGTACTTCCTTGAATAGGTACAGAAAGAGAAAGTTTCATTCTCTTTATATAAAAATATAAATATACTGAATTTAACTATTTTATGGTATGATTAAGGCTTTTATCTATAAATTCTAATAACTTGTGTTTCTTTTAGATTTAAGTCAGGCTCCGGAGTAAAAATACTTATATGGGGCCTAACCATCCTTTTTCCACCAGTTTTTCAATACACCAAAATATGTATCTCATTAACTGACAGTACCCGAGTTCAACTTGTTCCTCTTTTGGAAAAATCAGTTCTATAACACATCATTTTTTTCCTCGAATCATGAATTTAGGATTTTTTGTAAATAGATTCGATAAAAGACATACAGCTCAAAAGTGTCGTGTGTGTGTTTTATTTATTATCTTTCTTTGCTTCTTTCGACAGTTTACTATGTAGGAACTTTGATATTGTCTTCGCTGGCAATTGTACTGAGATTATTGTATCCAAAGGCGGTTTAAACCCGAACTGTTTCAGTTAGTTTGAGAGGGTGGAGATGCCGGGCATGTTTGTCGTACGATTGCTTTACAGTGTGTCAAGGTTGTTCTAGGCTGGTGACGTTTTTAATTACTTTTATGTCTATATGTATGTATGGGTGATATGTGTATGTGTGTGTAAATGTATGTGCATGTATGCACGCATGTATGTATGTATATATATATAATATATATACATATTATGTATATACATATATATACATAAATACATATATACATATACACACATATACATACATACACGCATA